ATTAACCCTGAAATGCAAAGTTCTATTATGCCATATGTGAAAGTATGGACTCATACAGGAGGTCAAAAAACTCAATATACAAATGGAGACCGTTCAAACTTTTGGCTTGGCATTCCATTTGCTGACTCAGAAGACTTTATGGGTGGTATTTCAACTGTTGGTACAGTTCAAATACAATATACTGGTGACAGAGACGGTCCAAATGAATTGAAAGCAAAGAAGTTTACAAAACCAATAGCACTTTTCACAGAAGATGCTCTTTTGAAGATTCGTTCGATGAAACCTGCTGGGGCTCCTCAGATTGGCATAACGACAGCTTCCATCGAGCAGATTTTGGCAGCAGGTCAGTAAGTTGTTCTTGAACTGACTTCTCTCCGTCAAATATTGACAGTACGCCAGTTTTGACATAAAATTGTATTATAAACTTACCTTTAGAAATATCTGTAAGTTTTGTTGTTATATTTTTGTCTGCTTCAAGAACTTTCACCATTTCAGTTATACCAACTTTCTTTGCTTTATGAAAATATTTTGGTTCAGCAAAGACTGCTATTCTATAACATTTTCCATTGTTTGTATAAAGAACTACTCTGTCAATGAACTTGTATTGTTTGTGTGTGTAAACTTTGTTTTGCTTCAATTCGAAGAGATACTCAAATACGTCCATCTTTTTTTCTAAGTAAAATGTCATTTCCGAAAAATAGAAGCGTAAGTGTTTCAAAAGGTTTAATGGCGGTGGCAGATGTGAAGTTAAATTCACCAACTCAAACAAACAGTCAAAGTGTTGTTGTCAATGTCAAAGAAAGAGATGTTGAAGTGGGGAAACCATACGAAGACGAAGATGGTATAACAATAGTTCCTGTAAAAGAACAACCAACATATCCTGAAGTTAGCAGAGACTTAAGTTCTGTTGCAGATATTCGAAACGACTACCAACAACTTAAAGACAAACTTAAAACTCAGGAGAAGATTTGTCAGGCTTTGGGTATAATGTTAAACTTGGTCGAACACAACCCTGTAAAAGTGAACTCATATGTCATCGCACCTCATGAAGTTTTGAAAGAACTATTGAAACTTTTGACAGAGGCAGACGATATAAACATCAAAGAAATAGAACCCGACGTTAGTTGCTGTGGTGTTTCATATAATGTCATTGACAAGATATACGTTATGAAAGGAGGTGAAACGTTGAACTTAAAGTATAGTTTCCCAGACGTTATAAAAATATTTGACGACCACAACATTTCATTAAAATTTACTTGCTAAGTAAATGGCAGAAGACATAGTGGTTTATACTATTACGACTAAAAACCCTGAGTCATATAATTCTATAACAACAAACTTACAAAGTCCTCAAGGACGATATTGTAAACTAACCTTAAACACGATGACGACTAAAGCCTGTTTTGCTCTTTTGACACCAGAAGACTTTGTTGTTGTGAATGGTAAAAAATACTTCTTTGAAGATACTTACTCAGATATACCACCAACAGGTTTTGTTGACTTATTTAATACTTTAAGGACGGATGTAACATGTGCTGCAACTAGAGCAGGTTTCATTATGTTTGGATGTCCGACTGAGTTTAGTATAAACGATATGAGCTATAATACAAAACTTATATCTGGTTTTTACTACCAACAGTTTCCTATAACAGGAAAAGGTGTCATACAAGGAATGTCTGTTCCATTGACTTTAAGTACACCTATTTTATATATTGTTTCAAACTTAGGTTCAAAGTGTTATTCGAATGTCGACAGAAACTACTATGACCAAAAGATACTCATGCGTATAAACAATACTTTCTCTGCTGGTTTGCCTATTGTTCATTCGAATGCAGAGTTTTCAGCTTTAGTAAACTCAAACACTTTAGCAAACATAAACTTAACCTTAGTTGACGCAAACTTTGTTCCTGTAAAACTTTTATGTCCTATGTATTTGTCAATGACGGCAGAAAGTTTCGAATTGGAAGATGCAACTGGTGAAAGTATTGTATTACAAGAACAACTTCAACAACAAATAGCTCAAGAACAACAAATGGAACAAATGCAACAACAAATAGCTCAAGAATAAAAAAAAATTTTTTTTTTTTTTTTAAAAATGTACAGAATAGACGTTTCAGATTTTTATGACTTCCAAGCGTTCAGAAATATGTGTCCATTTAGAGACTATAACAAAGCAGTCGAGAATTTGAAACGTTTAGTCATTTATGTCGACTCTGCCCCAGAATGTTATGTCATGAAAGAATGGGATGTTGTCTTTAACAAACCAAGAGCGACAATAGTTTCAGAACAAGAATGTAGACAGAAACTTAAGAAAATAAAAGTTGTACAGGTTGGCATGAAGATGTTAGATGCTTGGGATATCTTATTGTCAAAGTTAGAAGAT